TTCATCCATTAAATTCTGTATCATGTAAACGTTAAAATAAATTATAAAATTTATTCGTACCTACATTTGTGTAGGTACGATGATAAATAATAAAGTCACCGTACTACAAAGGAAAATTTTATAATTTATTTTAACGTTTACATAATACAGAATTTAATGGATGAATTATGACTGACGACTGATGATTGTTTATTAATTTCTTGTTTACTATTATATATATTCTCGGCAATTTGTTTGTAACATGGTAACTATTGTATTTCCATGGTAACTTTTTATAGGACTAAATAGATGTCGCTACACGGATGGTACAGGTGCTGCCATCCATCGGATTTTTCAATTTTCCCTTTTAGTTCCAGTCAAGTTCCATTAGTTCTTAGATGGCAGCAGCATCGATAAACAAGAAACGCACTAGTGCGTGACAAGGACAACAACAGATTTTAATTTCCGCTGTTTCTAGCATTTCAGTGTCCATAAATCAGGTAAAGTTTTATCTGTGAAGAAAACTAATTAATCAGGAGGATTAATTCATGAACTTTTGTGATTGTATCTTGATAATTAGGCATTTGATCTACAAAAAGCTTCAATAAAGATTTACAAAATTCTGCCTGACAGATCGAAGATTTAATTCAATTTTTAAACGAGTTATATGTAAAAATTGGACACGTTGCAAGATAAATAATCAAATAAATCACTCGTTCATGCTTTATTTAACAAAACTGCGATATAAAACTCCATTTGTAATTTTAAAAGATTTAATTTTTTTTTTGCATTAAATAGTAGCTAATTGTTTAAGAAGTTTGAACTTTCCTAAACAAAGAAAAAAGAAATGAAGATCGTACTTTGTATAATATATAACAACATATGATATAACAAATTATGTATGTTATATAGTATCGTCGATGTAGTGTAAAATTTCTATGATATTCAATTATTTATTAAATTTTTTCAATCGTCCCAAAGGAACAGGAAACTACTATTTTGTCCAATTTTGCAGAGATTCTTCAGACTCGGTAGACGCGTTCATCGCTTCCCGGAACCGGTTCGCGCGTGAACGTCGAGTTCAGGCAAAAGTAATTAATTGCAAAGTTCAATTCATCTCTAGAGTAGAAGGATTGATCACTTCTTCAATTCCAGTTGAATCTCCGCGAACGTTTTGCCCCTCGTTTCCGGCGTGACGCGCAAGATAATCGCCGTGCAAGCCGCCACGGCTGCAGCGTAGAATAGAAAAGGAAGCGAATGACCGTAGGCCAAGGTGATCGCCACCCATATGTAGAGCTTGGTGCCTAACGTGGCCAAAAAGCCGGCGATCATGCTGACGGCGCACGTGCTGATCGCCTTGATCTCCGTCGCGAAGATCTCCGACATTAGGATCACCTGAAGGCACAGTAGACAGTTGAACATGAAGACCAACACGATGGACGCAACGAACGGTATCCAGGAAAGCGACAGCACGTCCACGTGCACGTACTCGCCGGCGAAGAAGTAGAGTCCGATCGCGAGATTGGAAATCGCGCAGCTGACACCAGCGACGAGTATAAGCGGCCTGCGGCCAAACTTGTCGACCAGCAACGTGGTGACGACAGTCGAAACAACCTGCGTCACGCCGATCGCGACGTTTATCACGTAGTCGGACATTACGTTGCTGATCGATTTGAATATTAACTGGCCGTATGCCTGTATCGTGAAGAAACCACCGAAATACTGCGTCGCGGAGAACATCGCTATGCTGAGGAGCGCCTTCAAGTTCGCCCTCGACGCGAATACGTCCCTCAGGCCTCTGCCCTTCGCCGACTCCTTCTCGCTCCTCGAGAGTGACTCGACGATCGCCTGCAGCTCCTCGGAAACGTCGGCTTTCCCCCGTAGTCTCTCCAGCACCTCCTCCGCCTCGTCTGTTCGATTGCTCATCGCCAGGAAGTACGGCGACTCCGGCATGAACCAGAACACGATCACGAAGACGATGCTGACGGCGAGGAAAGCTGCCGCCATCGAGGACAACGAAAGATACGGAGCGATTATGAATGTCAGGAGGATGCCGATGTTGTAGACGATGGTCATCATGGAGCCTCCGATGCCTCGTGTGTCTGGCGATGATACCTCGCCAATGTACATCGGGAAGACGCAGATGAATAATCCTAGCGATATGCCCGCCAGAAATCTCGCCGCGTACAGTTCCTGCGAGGAGAAAGACGTTCCGTTTCGTAATTCTTCTTTTTGAAAGGCTTTAGTTTTGTTGCGAACGAGCACGCTCGGACGTTTTGTTACTTTTACGAAGGAAACAGGAAAATCGGTTGATAAAGGAAAAAGTCATCCATCTAAGAATAAATTATAAAGGAGAAAAAGCTGAAAAATAAAAAAAATAAAAAAAAGAAAGGAAATTTTAGCAATGAATGTATCGAGTACAAGCACGTGTTACTTTCATTTTGAGATGATGAATTAATATTTGTTTATTAGCGCGGCGCAACTAACCCAAATGGACGAAGCGATGACGATCAAACTCCAACTGACGATGACCGGTAAACCGCTAAGTAACAGAGTATTCTTCCTGCCGAATTTATCAACGATCATGGTATTAATTAGGGGTGCCAGCATGTGTCCAACAGCCACGATGGCCACCAACGTGGAAACGGATGATTCTGTGACCGGGATAGGCGAGCCTTCGGACATTAATATTACGATGCTTGGTGAATTCCATCCTACGACGAATCCCATGCAACCGCTCATAATAGAACCTGATATATATGCGATCAATGTATATATATTTTTATTCCATTTCTTTCTCAAAGCAGTAAAGACAAAATGAATCTATGTGATTACATGTTAAAATAGCCAAATACTCCCAAGTCTTCGAGCCATTTGGTGATGTGTATTTCGTCCCCTGTTCGTCGGCACTCATTTTTGAACACACGCACACACACACACACACACACGCACACACACACACACACACACTTTGAGAATATTAATTTAGTGAAACGTATTGAAATAACGCAGCTATTCGTTTACTACGTTATTTGATGCAATTGCAATGCGATTGCTACCGATTGCTACTGAAAGACATTCGTAATAAATCTCGGTTATCAGTAGTAATAGTAAATATAGGAAATTATCACAACGTCGTTTTATCTTATATAGGTCTTGATAAAGGAAGGCATCAGGTTCTACCAAATTGTTTTAAATGTGTCTGCGATACGTTTTTATAAACCTGTTCCTAATTTCTTCATTCCAAATGCAACAATTGAAGATATTGTCTTCGAAGATATGTAAAATTTGTTAATCGTTGAAATCAGCGTTTGCAAATAATTATTATTAATTTTAGTTTATTGGTTTATTATTAGTAATTTTAGTAGTTTATCATAAGTTTTGTAGTGAAAAGTAGAAATCAATATATTCAATAATATATTGAAATAACGCAGCTTGTTTATTATTTCTTCATTCCAGATGCAACAATTGAAGATATTGTCTTCGAAGATATGTAAAATTTGTTAATCGTTGAAATCAGCGTTTGCAAATAATTATTATTAATTTTAGTTTATTGGTTTATTATTAGTAATTTTAGTAGTTTATCATAAGTTTTGTAGTGAAAAGTAGAAATAATATATTCAATATATTCAATAATATATTGAAATAACGCAGCTTGTTTGCTACGTTATTTGATGCGATTGCTACTGAAAGACATTCGTAAATCTCGGTTATCAGTAGCAATAGTAAATATAGGAAATTATTACAACGTCGTTTCGTCTTATGTAGGTCTTGATAAGGGAAGGCATCAGGTTCTACCAAATTGTTTTAAATGTGTCTGCGATACATTTTTATAAACCTGTTCCTAATTTCCTCGTTCCAGATGCAACAATAATTGAAGATATTGTCTTCGAAGATATGTAAAATTTGTCGTTGAAATCAGCGAGACGCGTTTGCAAATAATTATCATTAATTTTAATAGTTTATCAGTTTTATAGTGAAAAATAGAAATAATATATGAGAAGCATAGCGTTATCAGTAATAGTACACGTTTTGCCTCGCGGTAATATATAAGCGTTTAGAAAACAATGACAATCGCAATCTTATATTTGTGCAAATACAATAGCTTCGATGAACTGACACATTGTTAAATATTGAAAACTGTTAAATATTGAAATTATGATAAATAATTTTCTTTACTGAAAGAATCACTGGATCTACTGAAATTTTCTCTGGAAGATAGTAGAGTAGATCTCTCACTTTCAGTGAATTTTCCATCGTTTTAGCGTTTCAGTACATTCTAGAAGAATATACTTCTAGAATACTAGAAACATTTCAGTATTAATAAGCTTCAATATGTTAGTAAGGAATTTATCATTCTTACATATATTACACGTTTACCATTAATAATGAGAATACTTAATCAATCAATTTTGATAATCCTTTATTCTACTGTACAATGTTATAGTATCTTGTTTTACAATCCGTATATACATATACAATTATACTATACGACGGTTGTCTTGTAAAAGATCCTATACGTTACATCAAGCTTCATGATTTTTCCATTTATTTACAATCTTGGTAAAGAATCTGTATTTTCTCAATGAGGAACGATCGAGCATGGTGATCGTGATATAGGTGGACATGACTTTCAATTTTAAATCAAAGCTTATGTCCAAACTACTTGTTTGAGTATTGTGAATAAGTGCACATCGACGTCATGTTGAAGTATTATGCAATATCATTACATTCTAAGCTCTCTAACTCTAAGCTCTCTGCTCCTCTGACGATATATTAAATATTTTTTAATCCCTCCCAAGCGAAAATTTATAAAATTGTACAATGAATCATTCTACATATGAAAAATAAGAAGGAAAGCTCATTTACAATTCATTATAGTGATTAATATTTTAAAAAATATCTATTGTACATATTCTACGTAGATTCCATTTAAAATTGAAGATTAATTAACAAGTTGTTATTGTTCGTGTTATATTGAAGATTATGGCAAGATTAAAATTATACGCGACTTCAACATGACGATACAAGGCACGCTCAAAAGCATAATATTATAGAAAGTATAGTAACATGAAATGCAGCACGTTATCCTTCGATCTAGCAACGAAACAATCACAATACACATTCTTTTATAACTACATAAAGTATGATATTTTTTTTCTCCTTTCCGTCAAAACGTGATTATTGCTAAAACGACAAAATATACAATAATCCGTCTAAAAATGATATAAAACATAATTTCATACACAACCGTTTCAGTTTTCCTTAGAAAATCTAGAAAAAGCAACTCGACCAGATCATTATGCGAGTATTTCATTACTTTCATCAACAATATACAGCAACACAACTAATTAACAAATGAATCTTAATGTATGCATGTTCCACAACTAATGGATATATAATTAACAAATTCTATGCTCTCCTTTCTTTCTCTTTCATTCATGTATTAACACATTGCTTTCCATTTTAATATTATTTGAGAAAATACTTGGCAATAGAATTCTACGTTGTACGTAAATTTATATTTTATAATTGGAAAGATCAGAGAATCAAATACAACATCATATAAAAAGTTTGAAATTGGAAAATAAATTATCTTAGTTGACAAGCAATGCATTAACAAGAATTGAAGTTTCATCTCCATGAATCTATGTAAAAGATGTCACTGTAAATTTTTTAATTTGGCCACAGATGCGAGAAACTCGCGATGAATTATTTCTTAATATCAATGTCATGAATCTACATAATGAACACGTGTGAATTCTTTATGCTTTGTCTTTGGAACTTCTACGCCTTGTGGTTACAGTTATGAATAAAAATTATTTCTTCTTTTAAAATTAATATTTTTTAAACATGAAGTATAAAAATAATTAAATTTCAAGCGAATGACAGTGAGAGATATTTTCTTAATGCTTAAAATTACTTGAACTAAAATTAGTAGTTTCATATTTGAAATTAAATTTAATACTTAATAATATTATAATAAAATAGAGAAGAGGAATAAAATGAAACCCACAAAAATTTAGTATAATGAAATAATAAAAAAAAAAAAAAACTACTTTTAGTAAAAGTATTATCCACACGTGTCTTATGAGGGATGAGCAATAGTACACCGATTAGTAATATGAAAGAACGATCTTATCTATGGGATGTGTCATTTAATATTTATGAAATGCTAGCGATAAAATTGTACTCTGAAAGCTATCTCTTCAAAGTGGTAGAATAATCTGTCTATCTCGATTATCAAGTACATTATGTAAAACTTCGAAGAACAATCAGCAGCAATGTATCTTACACGTTAAAAATCAATTGCCATGCTTTGAAACTCGTAATAAATAATTAAATCGCTTGGTCCATTTTTTTCTCAAATATGCGCGTAAATGTTTCTCATGGTATATCACGTTCTTCTGATTTTGAGTCAAATTATATATTAATATTATTACACTAGCTGAACTTGAAATTCCACAAGAAAAAAAAACATAAGTTGCTAATACTAAAAATTACGTAGTGAATCATTTTAATCCGAAAGAAACATTATAATTTTTGCTTTCTATAGTTCAAGATTCGTATAGAAGTGATTATTAAAAATAAAATCTTCGTTCTCACTCGATAAAAGAATAGAGTATTAAATAATAATGCAAGCGTCTGTTCACAAGTGTGTATAAACAACGTATTGAAAAATTATAAATTGTTTTCATTTTTATGATTCGTATAGTGATTTAAACATAATGTGATTCATGAGACAGCAATGAATTTAAAATTAACAAATCGTGAATCCTTTTCTAGTCTAATTTTTTTCGACAGAATTAAGTTTCCTATTACTAATTACTTCGATTAAAATAATAAATAATGAAACGTATAAAATTGATATTTATCTCGTCTAACTTATTGCAATATATACGTTGTTTTCACGCTCTTTAGATATTCTGCTTACGGCAAATATTGTAAAAAAAGTAAATTCTTAATAATAATAATATCAATAATACTAATAGTAATAACTAATAGGATCACATCTTTGGTACACGATACGTTAGTTTCAACAAACTTAACTAGCATTTCAATGACCTACGGCAAGACGGGCGAAATTAGATCATTTATCTTTGCACTGAACTCTTATTGTTATTAATTTCCGGAACAGGGCAAGATCTTTGTTTTCATTATCACTCATGTATCAACTATCTGTCAAACAATTTGTCATCTAAAAATGACTATTTTACATCAGCATAACAGTCTTCATTTGCATTATTAAATTTCTCTTAAATCCTTAATAATAGGGTCTTAGAAAGTTTCACATTTCTTCAATATCAATAACATTTATCTCTTTTCATCTTGTATCATTTAGAATTTGGTAAATTGTGCCGCTTTAAAGAAATGTATCCTACAGAAGAGAAGCATACGATTAAATTTAAACTGCCTCTGAAATCATTTATAAATAATGATTTTAACATAGTGTAAATAACAGAGCGTATCTTACCTAATTATTGGAATGTTCATGATGAATTAACATATACTGGAAATTCCATGAGTCAAGCTCTTTTCAAGAACGATGTGAAATTCGCTTAACGGTTCCAGAATATGAACGAGGAAATTTAATAATGTAAAATTTCTTAAGAAAGACGTTTCTTCGTACATGTCCGCAGTAGAGCGTGCCTCGCTCATTGGCCGAAGCATCGAATGAAGAAGTTGTTCTCTGAAAGAAGAAAACAATTTGTAGAAATATAATCGATTAATATTCGATCCGTTAAGATTATAAATTACCTTAGCGCTAAGCAAATGAATAACTGAAATTTTCCATCTTTACCAAGAGTCTGACTGAACATGTTAATTTGATCAATAAGATGACAATAGCATCGTAAAGTTGCAAATCTTCGATTATTCTCTGCGTGAATTCGTCTATCTCTATTCAATCTCTGTGAATATTCGTCCATTTCTTCCAACAAAGAGATTTCAAAGTTTTCTTTTACTCGCACTGAAACGAACGAGGCAACAATTTATTCGTTTGATAATTATCGAAAACTAAAAGTAACAACTTACAGAGATAATCCCAAACATAAAAATTCCTTCCGAATATCCTTTGATTTTTAAAACCGAATAAAAATATTTGCTCTAACGATGGCACAAGACCACCTTCTCCACAAAGTAGAGCAGTCAAGGAACCGTCTTGACACTCTCTTCTATAGTGGAATTTGACAATTGCATTTACAGATTCACCTGTAAAATTACGTTAAACTTACTTTCAATTTTATATACCAAGTTAGGTGTATTTAGTTAATAGTTACCCAACATATGTTGCAATTCAACTTGAGACAATATAGGACGCCTAGGTATGCTAGGAGATCTGCATCTTGGTGGTGTCGAGCATGATTCAACCAGTTCTTCGCTATCGATACTATGTGGTACCAAGGCACCTACTAATAATCTCTCCGTAGATCCGTCATCGATGCCTCTGCCAAGCCATCTGCCACAAGGGAATTTAAATGTGTGCCCCGTAACCTCGTTTCTCACTACAACGTGCTCTACCATCCATTTAGGCGAAAGGCCTGTATTGTCATGTCCTATGCGTAACGTTGAAAGCACCCCCAAATTCTTATGCTAAATAAAAGTCATAAAATTAATATAATTATTAATATGAAAAGTCAGAAAGTATTAAGTTACAAGGGGACATACATGGAACACAAATTCCAACGCTCCCTTGGGAATTGGGACTGGATTTGTTTCACACAGAGTACCAGAGATAGCGATCCAGCTATTTGCTGAAGTAGTAGCTGCGCTAGCTTTTCGACTAGGAAATATAACGACCCTGTACGGCAACTTTGTGGTCGGGTAATTGTTTGTGAAGCAGAAGTAATCGACGGCATTCAACGTTAAAAGATGGTACAAGAATTGCTCCTTCTCTTCTTCGCAACGTAAAAATGCTGAACGCTTATACTGGCTTCTGAAAGTAAAAACAGCACTGTTAACTATTTCCTTTTTTATATGTATATTATTTAGATTTAAATATTTCTTGGAAACTTTACTTCAACAATCCGGTGTCCGACAATAAAGTTTTCAGATGACGAGAAAGAAGTTTCTTTTCCAGCGCTAATCGAACCCAGGCTCTGGCGTATCCAATGTGCGTTTTAATATCAGTCATCGCCTGCACGTTCCGGATGTCGAAAAGCAATGAATCAGGTAAAGGCCTCAAGTATTCGGGACCGATTTTTCTGTCGCCAGGAGACTTATGCTTGTCGGTTCCTCGTGTAGGCGAATCGATCTCCAGTGCCAAATTTGGTATATCTGTTATTGTTAACAAACACACAAATCCAATTACACGACAGTTTTGAGTATACAAAATACATATACATTTTTCACACTTCTATAAAAAATACTTCATGCAAATGATAATCTCATGCTTTGGACGATGACGGAATAAAAATGCATCCTGCAACGAATCATAACATTCCACGTAACAAATACAATTCTGTTTTCTCCTTCAATTTACAATCACATTTTGTCATGCTGATTATTTCAAATTTCTGCACTTATGCAAATAGTGCATCGCTAATAAAAAAAAAAAATTGGCAGTTTTGGCATTACATGTCTGTAATATTTGTACATATCATGTAAACAGGTATTGAAAATTATCTAGCAATATTTGAAACATCAATGTAAAACCATGCGACTAACATTTATGATGATTATTAAATTTATATATAAAAATAACATGTATATATGTGTTAGAGAACAAAAGATAATCGAATATACTCGTGGCAAGCCAACATTAGGGCTTACCATTAAAATTCTCCTTGATATAAGAAGCAATTTCAAAAATATTTTTGCCCTTTAAAGATGAAATTAAACGCTCCGGTAATCCAAAAAACTTACTTGGTGATTTCTTGGCTATTCACAACAAAGAAAAATGAAACGCAAATAAAAATTAAGTGAAAAGGAAGCATGGTTCTATGCTCTAAATGATGTCGCAACTCAATAATGTTTCTAATCTAATAAAATAAAAAATTAAATGTTTAAACGACGTCTTGATTTAAAAATATTTTATTTACTCTCTGAGTTGAAACACCATCAAAAGCAAAAACTATGTTTATTAAAAAAAACCTAAATAAATAAGCAAAACTAAACTAAATATAGTATATAAAATAAACAGGGAAAAAATAATAATGATCACATAAATAAATAATTTTATAGTTCATAATAGCAAAACAGTGTATATAAAACACATAGTTTGAAGTTATCCAGAATGGATACTCTTTCAGAAATAGCAACAAACGTATGTGCAGCTTTAGAGAGAATACATAGATTCAAATAAACAATTATTTATGAATGATGTGTCACTTACAACTAATACAGTGCAGAGTATCTACGTACGAGAAACTAATCTCTACTTTTAACACTTTATCTGAAATAAAATAAGACACGTACAATCGAGTCGTTTCCGTAGTACGTTCCACGCTAACGCCGCATTTCCAAACGGTCATGAAATTTTGTATAAATGTAATAATTTCGATGATAAAGTGCGACATGTGTGAAAGATGTCAACGAATCTTCACTTACCAGGAGAAAGAAAATTAGAATGTATTGATTTATCTGGGTCATTACACTCCTCTACTGCTTGATACATGGTAAGGTGTGACCAAAGAGCGCTTTTCCCTTGCTTGTTTTGCAATCCGTGACTCCAAACTCGTTCCAAGAGATCACAGAGACTCGCGACAAGCGTATTCTCTTCGACGTCGGACAACGATTCGCCTCCGTGACCTAATGCAACTGCTTCAGAACCCATTTTTTCAACCAACATTCTTTTCGTTTTTGATTTACAATCCTTTGAATAGAAAACAGAAAAAAGACAGATTGACGTGATTTCTTCTTGTTACTGCACACAAATCTATTTATTTCATTTTCATTATATGTACCTTGAGCAATTTTTCAACGAATGTCCAGTTTGCTTGTGCTATTAATGCTGGACTCATGTCTGCAGAGAGCTTAGTTTGGGGCCGAGGCGACTGGGTTTCTTGAGGTGCCGAAGTCTTCCCATTTGATTCCATGGATTTCATCTTATACTTCCATTGAGTCTGACCTCTTCGACTACTGTTGTAGATATAAAATTAATCAGATGAAATTTCTTAAAAATTGAAATAAAAAATACGGACGAATAAAACAGTAACAGATATTTATACATTATTATATAAATCAAATTATACGATAATACAGTGACCTAAAATATATACATGCGCAATGTTGTACAATTTCAGATGTGTATTCTTACCGAAGTATACTAGACGTGAAGCAGGAAATAAGACGAGAAATGTTAATGTTTTTGGTTTTAATTTAATTGCTTAAAAAAAAATCTATTTACACAAATAATTACCTTTGAGCCGGCTCCTTGTTCAATGCAACGCTGTCTAACAAAGGGAAACTTCGAAAATATGCTGCTCTATGAGGAACAATTTCTGTAGGTGGATTCGTTTCAAAATCTACATTTGTCAATCTCTGTTCCAATATTTTTTGCGATTCGTCAATACTTGTACAAGGTTCATAACGTGTCGATCTTATAATACCTTCCCCAACCTTTTTTCTACGAATATCATTTAATCAACATAAACGAGTACCGACAAAAATATTAATATAAAAATATTCATCTTTTTTACAGTTACCTTAAGAGGGAAATTCTTTGATCAAACACTCGTATATTGAAATCAAGCTCGCTCCACGTTGACATAACTTTACTGTCGACCAGGGACGCGAACATTTGTGTCTCTAGAAACCTCGATAAAAACGGCAAATGCTGCGTAGGTTGATCGGATAAAAACGTAGCCTTATCAAAAACATGCATACTATCTCTATTATTCAACCACTCGTCTTTGTCCTGCAAAAAACAAACCAAATATAATTTTATTGTATATACAGAACTTTCATTCTTTTTATATATACCAAATTCATCTCTAAAATGATTCTTTCATATATTACCAATCATTTTGTTTTCTCACCTGACTTGGTTGAATAACGAAGTGCTCGTAACTAGAAAAGATCTGTACAAAACGGTTCAAAAAAATCTCCCTAATCGCATTATTAAACATAAGCGTCTCTTGATATTCCTCCTGAGGCGAGAGTACTCGCTCCTTCACGTTATTATCCTCTATTGAATCAATATCT